AAACTTTTCCGTAACCGTATAAACCAACCATTTCAATAACAGCAAATCAATCTGACCAATAAAACCCCAAATTGGTTGAAGGCCGTTTCTCAACCTCTCACAAAGTCACAAGGTGTGTCTAATGACCTCAACAGAACGCCTGTCTCATCAGTGCAAAATCCTTCAGCTGGGGGTGGGTGGGGTCGGACTAGAAGACCTCCCGGGTCCCTTCCAACTCTCTTATTCTCTATTCTGCAAGGGGTAACGTAAGTTCAGCCGTGTGTTGGTTGAAAACGTCTCGCTTCCATGCTGATGGCATGCCCTGGGCTTTTTTTCCGAAAAGGAGACATCATCCTTCATGCACGGTCCAGGCACAGAATGTTTTGGGGTGGGCATTAAAGCTTTATGAGGAGTGGTATGGTGGCCTAGAGCCGCGAGTTCGATCCTATGTAGGGGCAGATGTTTCTCTGAGCACAATGAGAATATATCTACTGAATAAAACTCCGCATTGGTGACAGGAAAGGCATCCAGCCAGTAAAAAATCAGGTCTGTTTAGTTGCCCAGACCTCCACCCCACAAGGGATTATGGGGGTCATTAAAAGAAGACGATTAAAGCTTTATGAGGTTCCCTGCAGGTTTCTGAATCTTTTTCCAATTAAATCCGGTGACCGGGCAATCGTTTCGGCGCTGGATGAAAAGACAGGTTAAAAAGCAAATCAAACTTTTCTAAACCTTATTATTTTCCCCTGTTCACGTTGGACCTGTTTACTTCCTCAACAGACCTTGACTCTGTCATGGCAAAAGGATCGATCGGTTGCCATACAGAATCCACCTAGATCTGACATTAATTATGAGTATCACAGTGTTTTGGTAAGAGATCCTTCAGTGGATCACATTGAAAAAGAAATCGCTGTCTAGTAGCGAATTCTTCTCTTCTCTTCTCTCGTGTTACTCAAAACAAACATTACAAGCTTCCCTAACTCATCTGTTGAATGTTTACAAGAATCTTTTTCACAATACTAGCAACTTGTCAAATTTTAATTGTGTGTGTTTGTGTACCTCTGTGGGTTTTTGCAGTGTGGCTTTCAGCCCACCTGCTGCCCTGAAAATACGTGGCACACCCTCACCATCTAATGATAACTCGCTTCTTAATCGCTTGTAAATCATATTTAAAAATGATAAGCCTGACTGTTTAAATGTGCCTAATTTAGGACTGACCTCCTAAACTTAATTTTAAAAAGAACATAAACTAACCAATAAAACTGCAGCTTCTCCCTTCTTTCAACCCGTAGCATAAATGTCCTGATAAATCTAATCTAAAAACTGTTTTAAACCCGGGCTAATTATCTTCTAGGAAAAAAACTTTTTATTTTGGCGTAGTAATAAATACTCAGGACCTAAAGGGGCAATCGCTGCCTCCAGGAAAAAGCCCAGCTTGCAATGGATGGAGATGAAATTGTAGGCGGACATCTGAAAAAAAAAAAAGCCAAACCAAAAAAAAAGCAAAAGGTAACGTCAAATGCGTGTTTTAACAGCAAAACGTAGCTTGGCTCACTTTTAAAACCTCGAGTTTTAAGACGGCTGCTGGAATGGCTCACTGCTTTAAAAGTGTTTCGTCTTCGCGGCAGCTAATCTTAGCCAACGGCTTCTGCTTTTTAATGCCGGCCCCCCCTAACCTTATCCCTGCCCTACTCATTCCTTCCCCATATAATAACCAATTAATCCTCTATAACTTCTCCCCACCCAAGTCTTTTGATAACACAACAGCAAGGGGGGGAAAAAAGACTGAAAAGAATCGAACCCGTTCCTAGAGTCCGCTGCTTCGCTTAAACCTCAGATGGCGTCACTCTTAGGACCTGACTAACTTCCTGTTGAGCCCCTTTCTAAATATATATATATATATATAGTATATGACATTTTGTAGGATGGGTATCTCTGTCAAACTCATGGCCTGGAGGGTCTGGGTCTGAATGACTTCAGTGGTAGGATTCAAAACTTTTTACTACCGGTTGTGAGGGCCTGGCTTGGTGGCTGTGGCAGGGGAAGGATACTGGAAAAACCCCCTTCCCTCCCCACCCCACTAACCTGCTTTCCTGCTCCGTTCTCCTGGGCAGGGCAACCAAAGGAGACCCAGCCGATCAACTGGGACTCAATGGGAGGCAGAGAAGAGATGGGAGCAGGGCCAGTGAGAGGGGGGGGGGATTTGCCGGTTCTCCGAACTACTCAGAATTTTCGCTACCGGTTCTTCAGAACCCGGTCAGAACCAGCTGAATACCACCTCTGCTTCCCCTCACCACGCCCCATTAGAAAGAAGGAAGATACAGGAAATCCTCGATTTACGACCGTTCCAAGTTACCAGTGGCCGCTGACAACTCAGATTCGAAGTTCTGACCGTCCCATTATCCCCTTTTGGTTGCTTGGCAACAAGCCTGCATTTTCAGCTAATTGCAGCGCCCCGCCAGTGACTTGACCAAGATTTACAATGTTTTTTGTGAGGGTTTTGTTTTTGTTGTTTTTTTGCCAGAAACAGGCTGATTTCTGGCAAAGAAAACCCCACTCAGTTCCATTTCAGGCAGGGTTTGTTTAATTACTGTGCCCTTCGCCTGATGGCCACTGGAAGAAGGTTATAAAATCAGTGACTTGTTTAATGACCAGCATGACTTA